TTTCACTTGGCACGCATGCAAATTAAATAATATGCAAATGTAGAAAATTAAAAAAAGTATCTAAATAAGTGAACGTGGCATATCGAAAGTACTTTAAGTTGACAAAACTCTAAGCGTCATTGAATCTTCGGGAACATGAACAATAGAGACGACGCAGACTTTGAAAATCCGTTGACTACAGCATAAATATAGTGGCACACAGTTATACACTAACGAATTGGCCATAAAATATTAGCGTGTCCATTGTATTAATCTGGTGGCCGAACGAAGTGCCACGGGAGTTCATTGACCAGCGCTTAGCACAGACACGAACCACACTTCGAGTTCGAAGTCAATACTCGTGTATGTGTGTATGTGTGCGAGTCCGAATGTCTGAAAATTTGCATAATTTGCAATTGCTAGCTAAATGACCATATTTTTCAACGCCTTAATATTTCATAAAAGCGAGTCATTATCATTATGATTGTTATTGCTGTCAACGGTTATGCAATGCACAATCGACTCGATAAACCGCCTGGCGCTTAGCTATTGAAAAGGCCCCACAATCAGCCGCTGCATTGATTTCCCAAAGACTGGTCTATAATACGTCGAGTAGACTCAACAAAAGGAAAATCGTTGCAGCGCTTTGCTGTTATTGTTGTTGTCGTTATAGCTGTGACAGCTGCTATACCATTTCTTATTCAAATGGTTAGCCAAAGAAAAAGTCTCACGCGCTCCTCATGTCATAAAATAAAATAAAAATACAAAAATGCCGAGAGACACAAAAATCAGCTTCGTTGCTGCCATCCACAAGTGTGGCTTAGATTTAAGTTTGTTGTTATTGTTGTTGTTGCTGACACTTGGCTGGCTTTTATTACGTCACGACTCCGCAATACATTTGACAAATTTATTTTTATTAAAAGCAATTTCTTTGAAAGCGTCGACATGAATTGAATTTCGCTTGATTGAGTTGTTTTTTAAGTGCCTCCCTTATCATCGACTATTGTTGTTGCTATTGAGTGGACTCCTTCGTCTATGTTAACAGACCAATAAGTGATTTTTACCATTCATTATCTGTGCCTTTCCAACGACAAAAAATGTACATAAGTGTTCACAAGCAAAAGTAATCTATGTAAGTTGTAATGCGATATATAAAGCGTAATAAGATCGAAATCAACATGAAAAAGTCTACGTGAGATAAGTCAAACCAATGAACGCATAAATTTCAAAATAGGGAATATCCTTCTGGACTATTTACTATTTAAAATCTCTTAATATAATTAATATTTCGAAATCATTAAGAATTAGTTATTAGAATTATACGCATGGGGGATACCCTGTAACTATAGCTAAAGGCACACTTAAGAACTACTTGAATAATTTTGATGTATAACGCCCATATATACCATATAATATACATATATAAAAATATATATATAGTATACCTACGTTACTTTGAAATCAATAGCTTAAATACTTGTGTATCTATGATAAAAAAAAAACAAAAAAAATGTAATATTTTTATAAATATGTTCTTATTAAGAATTATCGAAATGAATGTAAAAAACTGGTAAAAATAAATAGGATATATTTTTTCAATATATTTTCTTTGTGCTGTTACATACATTTGGACAAAACCAAAATACCCAATTGATAAAAATCATCATTAAATCGTAATAGAATAACATATTATATATATATATATATATATATATACTTTCTGGCTGTAATATTCTTAAAGTGTAATGAACAATGCTTTTGCTTTTTAAGCAAATTGTAGTAGTAATTCGATATTAAATATCCTTCAATGAGTTGAATCCAAATATATATGTGTATAAGGTAACTTTTAGTTGAGCACATTTTATCAATGGGTTCATTATTAGTTAGCATTTCATTTGCGATATAAAGAGCAGCAGCTTTTGCAAATGCTTTCATATTTTGCTTTCGTCGAGAAGAAAACAGCAACAGAAAAATATATCAACAACAGAATTCAAAATACAACTTGAAATGGTTCGCTAAAAGATACCCTTTACCCAGCTGCCATCTTAAGAAATCTCAAAAAATTAATCTTTAAAAAGTTGATTGAACCAATGATGGGAATATAATATTAATCTTACTGATTATTTTCAATAATTGAAATATTCTTTGCCTGTGTTTACTTTGGCTATAATCTAATTTGTTTGTCATACTTTTAAAAGTTAATTTTGAATCATGGCAATGGGTCTTATAGCCGAGGTTGGACTAGTAGACTGTGTCGAATCTGCCATTGATCGGAAATATATACCCATCTGTGCTAACAGTTAATGGGTACTGCTTATATAAAGAGCAACACAAGGAAGCGAAAACCGAACCGAGCTGATTAATGCAAAACGTGGCAGTTGGCACAACTTGTCACAGATTCCATTAGGTCATCGCCGGATTTGCATGTGTTCACAGAATCAAAATATTTACGCCATGCGTTGCCCCAGCTAAGAATACCCGTGCAGAAAATAGACTAAAATTGGGAGCTGGGAGCTGGGAGCTGCATGCTGTGAGCCTAAGAACTGCGAACTGGGAACAAGTATCAGCTGTTGGCCAATTATGCGAACACGATCACCGCAATGTTGTGGGAAAAGCAAAGAAAGTTGCGCAGGTGGCGGCGCAACTGGCCAAAAACTACTATTTTTACCTTAACTCGCAGCGAAGACGCTGGAAAATTGGCAATCATTTGTAAACAATGTGCGAAGCGAATCATGACAGGGTGCGGCGGGATGGAGGCGCGGCCAAGCACACACAGCCCGTATATCTATCTATCTATTGACTGCTCAGCGTGGTCAGAAATAAGAAATACGCGCCGCGTGACCCACTTTCAAGTTGTGTTTTTGTCTGCTTTTTGTTTGTGCTCTTGCCGTTTGTTCCACGTTTCACGCTACTGGTGTATGCATATACAAATATACGTATTTGTATGTGTTTGCATGTGTGTGTATATGTCTCGCACTGACTGTGCTCAGTTTCTTTGCAAGCAACAAGTTTCTAGGCAAATTAGCAGCCAACAGCTGCAGGAATTATCGACGTAGCTCATTGAAAGTTGATTAACCACTTGCCAACTACTTGAGATCGGAACATTGCCAATTCGAAGAAAACAATATGCTTCTCTTTGAACCCATTGACAAGGGAGAAACCCAGCTGACAGATCCAAATCAACTATTTGTCGATTCCTGGACCTTTCAGTTCATGATACAAAACTTAAAAATCGAAAGCATTTGATATAAATAAATATTTTGTCCAACATCAAATAAATACGGCCAAGCAATAGTTCTTTTAAAATATATTTAGTCTTAAATAGCGGAAATAATATAGCCATTCTTCCATTCGACACTAGGTCTACAGCTGAAGTAAGAAATATTTTTATTGTTAAAGACTTTTTAGTTCTAGTCTCATGCGAGTTCTTAGACTTGCGTTTTTAAGCAGAAAACTTTATGATATAGAGATATTAAATCTTTTAATTATGCTTAAAGTATACAGTCAAATGTAAAGTCTTCAGTTTTAGTTAATTCACTTATTTCAGCTGAGCAGTAGAAGAATCCACACTTTAGCAAATTCGTTCATAAGAAACTTTATTTTTCTGCTCATTCACGCCTTGGAAAGATCAGAAATATATGACGGATATTTCAACGACCATTAGGGGCGTCACAAACAGTATATTTCACAGTTGCAGGCTAGAAGCTTAAAATTTGACTTGTTGAAAAAAATAAGTATTAAAATATTATACTAACTTGCTACTTGTTTAAAAAAATTTAATATTTTAATACTACATTAATTTTATATTTTTGTATATTTTTGTATATTTTCTAAGGCTTGAGAGCTAGATCAGTAAAAGCTCAAATATTAAGTCACTCTTGTCTAGTGTCGAGTTTTGGCATTAGAATTGAATAGCTTCGTTACTGTAAATCTCCTTCTAAGTATTGGTCACGCTTATATGGGCCATGTCATATCCATATCCAATCCAAAGTTTTGATGGTGTTAGCTTTTAGCCATGTGGAAACTTTATAAAAAATCTTCAAATAAATTAACTTTTTACTCATTTCAAAGGGTCTAGAAAAAAAGATTTGCTGAGTTATTGTTTTCGTCTTCTAACTGTAGTTTGAATAATTCCAAGTCATCTACTTCCGCCAAGAGCACTGATAAGATGGTATGTGCCTGCCAGTTCGAGATAAACACCTTCGAACAACGAAAGATAATGATTTTTTATGCGATTATTTTTGCAGCTTTTATATGCGAGGACAATTTATAAAAAGATAGCATAATCGAATTGGAATTTAATAGCTAATCAATGTGTATTTTTTATATTTTTGAAGTGAACGCATACGTCACTGAGTTTGGATATAATGAAAGTCATTTGAAAAGTTGAAAGCGACTCGTCAATTGATTTTTGCCGTTTTCTGCATCCAGTGACAAAGTCCAATGTGTTGCATAAGCTCAAGTGGCACTGGCTGCAGATATTATGCTACCAAATACCCTGCATACATTCACAATCCATACAGTATACCCTTAGCTGCTCAGGTGTTCTTGCCAGCTTACAATGTTGCTGGCTGTTTGCTTACGGCACAACATGAAAGTGACTCAGCAACTTGGAGGCAGCAGCTGGAGGCAGCCTAACTGCACTTTGATGCCATTAGTTGAGCTGTAAACTTGTTGACTCTGTAGCCAATGCTAACGGATGTTGGCGCAGCTGCACGTGAGAGTCATTTGTCCTTTTGACCAGTCACTTGAGCGAAGGGGAGAGATGAAAATGAAAGAGACAGAATGCCAACAATATGCAAACGTGAGAAAATGCGCCAATGTGGCCTATAGGGTGTAGCAGCTTTCGCGTGCGAGTGTCAAGCGCGTGCGGTAACACGTAGACAACGGCCAATCACTGTTTATGCCATGATGTAATTGGCCAAGCTCTTGGGAAAGTGGATCAATGGCAGCAAACAGCAAACATTTGTACACATAACCCACTCATAACCGTCAATTCGTTCCTTTTGTATGCATTGCAGCTCACAGACGAGGTTGTGCGCAAGAAGAGCGAATACCAAAAACATTTGGAGGGCTACAAGGCGTTACGCACGCGCTTTGAAGAGCACTATATAAAAGGTGAGTGGCACCTGGTGCCCAGCTAGCTTAAATACATATACTCAAGCAATGCGTCCTGCCTGCAGCACCGGGTCGAAGTGGTCGCAAGCTGGACGACGTCCGGGACAAATATCAAAAGGCCTGTCGGAAGCTCCATCTTACCCACAACGAATACGTGCTGTCCATCACCGAGGCCGTCGAGGTTGAGAAAGACTTTCGCACAGTGCTGCTGCCAGGTCTACTGGAGCATCAACAGTCGGTGCAGGAGAGCTTCATACTGCTGTGGCGCAACATACTCTTGGAGGCGGCACAGCACGGCGACTTGACAGCCGACAAATTCAAAGAGATACAGAAACGCATCGACACTGTGATAAGCGGCATAAATCCGACAGAGGAGTACTCGGAGTTTACAGAGAAACACAAGTCAGTATAATTTGGTTTTATAGAAAATCCAAAGACAGCGTAAGCTAATGTCAAATCTCATTCCGAGGCGATCGACCAATAAATAATATTCCCCAAAAATATTAAGTTTACTTGATTTAGCTCAATCTAAATTTGTTACAAATTTCAATTCAATTCTTATCGCCTGATCCTTATAGGTCGAAATGTTAGCTTATAAATCTAATTATATATATTGACTATATTTAGAATCTTTGTATACTTATAAAACTTATATGTAAGACATTCAAGCTACTTAGGGAAATGAAATGAAATATGGAAACATTTTCTTAAGCAAATTTCTTTTTTTATTCGCAGAACTTCGCCCACAACGCCGCTGCTCTTTCAATTCGATGAAACACTCATCGAGGACATACCAGGCAAGCTGACAGCGAGCACCCTGACCGTTGACAATCTCACCGTAGATTGGCTGCGCACGCGACAGCTGGAACTGGAGTCGGCCGTTAAGGATTGCCAGGAGCGACAACTGAAGATCATTGAGCATGTGAATGGTGGCTCGCCGGTAGCCAATGGCAGCATCATATCCAATGGCAGCAGCGCATCAAATGGCATACAGTCTAACAAAGATAGTCAAAAGTATGTGAATTGCAGTCCACAGTCGATCGACCTTGTAACCTATCTGATCTGTTTCGATAATTGTAGCCGCCAGTCGAAGGACCTCAATGCACTGCGCTGCCAAGAGAAGCAGAAACAGAAACTCGTCGATATGATCAAGTGTGCACTGAACGAGGTGGGCTGTGAGGAGCTGCCCTCCGGCTGCGATGATCACCTGTCGCTGGAGCAGAACTTTATCGAGCATGGCTTTAACAACGAGCAACAGGTAGGTCTCATTTCTCGGTAGAGCTGCGACATGAATATGGGCGTTGGTTAGCTGTAAGCGTAGCGGTTTGGGTCAGCATCAATGATCGACTAATCGTATGATATATTCAACTATTTCTATTCTCTTGGATGCCGCCTTCTGCCCCATACACACATACACACAATATCCACAAACCATTTCTTTAACCCATTCTAATTGAACTTGCGTCGCTGCAATAGCGCTCCAACTCCACTAGCTCTCCAGGTCTGGGTATTATGAATGAGCTGATGCGCCGTGGGGGCGTACTTACGCTGCTGCGTGGTCGTGGACGCCATTTCAAACGCAAGTCAACGCCACAGCCAACTACGCCGATGGCCAGAATGCGTCCAGGTAGATTCTCGAAGATGCAGCCTCGCTCACAGAGCCTGGGATCGCTGTCGGTAATTACGGATGCGCGTAGTCCTGCACGTTACGAGCCAGTTACTAACCCCATGCGTCTGGCGGCGAGCGTCCACTATCTCGGCGAGGAGATTGTGCCCAGCGCTCAGCCGCCGGCGCTGCCTCGTTTACGACGCACGCAGTGTTCGATGTTGTGTTTGGGCGAGGATGAGCAATCGCTTGATCCGTTGCAGTTGCCGTTACCGTTGCCGTTGCCGTTGCCGTTGCCACTCCCGGTGACCTTGCCCACGTCCGCTTCCGCTGCCTCGCCCCTAACCACCACTGCCATTACTAACACTAACAACAATCACATCTATGCGGATCTGGAGCTGGTGAACAAGCCCTCAAGCGCTCAACAGGACGCGGATGCGAATGCAAATGCGGATGCGGATGCGGATGTTGAAAGCATTGCCAGTGAAAACGAGCTGCAAGTGACGTGTCATCAGATTCAGATTGAAATCAATCGCGTCGAGTCGGACGACGCACAGGTAGCGCCCCAAAGCTCCATCGATGCACACCTAGACCAAATTGATGAGCTGAATCGCGTACTGGACGATCGGTTAAAGCGCAGCTTGCACCCCGTTAGCCCCAGTGATGTGAATGCCATCGAGAGTGCTGATGATATGAATGTACAAAAACGCCGAACGGAACTAGATGCCGATAGCCGAGCCAAGCGCAATTCCAGCTCGAGCTCAGAGTGCCGCTCCTCGCAGCACTGCGCCAAAGAAGCCGTCCAAAGCAAAAAGCGATCACTGTCCTTCACGCAAAAGTCCATTAGCAACATAATTAGCAACATTCGGGAGTTCTCCAAAAGCCCCTTGGCGCGCATGGCCAAAAATGGGACTCTCCCCGAGGAGCCGGATCCAACTAAGCTCGCCAGCGAGCCGAGCCAACTTTCCAACAGCAGTGAATCCCACACTCAACATAGCAACACTAACAGCAACAGTGTTCACAACAACAACAACAACAATGATGCCAATCCGTGCCCGCCAACAATTATCGCCAGCTCCATAACAACGACACTAACAACGACAAGCTCATCAACATCGACAACGATACCGTCCAAGGAAACCTCAAGACTGAAATTTAAAGTGCCAAAAATACAAAAGAAATCAAAAGCCATCCGCAATACATTCCGTACCAAGCTGCTCAGCTTCCAGCTGAGGCGATCCAAGCCGTGCAAGCAGTGCACCAAACGGCGACGCATTCATCCCAGCAAAAGTGTATTTGACTTTGCCAAGGAGTTCGAGACGAGTCCACACGAACAGGCCGAGCAGGAGCAGTTCTGCAGCTGTCCGGCGCTGCCGCAGAAACCGAAGGGCAAACTAAAAGCAATGCGCATGTCCTGCCCAAAGGATCGCCCTTTCGAGATACACAGCTCCGACGAGCTGGACGACGAGGAGGAAGACCCCAACGAGGATAGCAGCAGCGACGATGTGCTCAGCATTAAGGAGCACTGCTACTGCGTGCCCAGCTTGGCAGCGAGTGTGAGTAGCAGCGAGCTCAACATCGAGGCCGAGCACCAGCATCAACAGCATCCACAACAGTATCTAAATCCGAATTCGCACTGCCAGAAGAGGACCTCATTGCACACTGCCTGCCTTATTCTCGTAGTCGTACTCCGCAGTTTGCATGTCCTTCATTTCGCATGTTCAACTTTTCTGTTCAACTTTTTGCTTTCAATGTTGAACGCGTAGAAAGAGCCTAACACAACAAACAAAAATACCAAAAATAAAATTCCGTTCGCACTCTGATCATAATATATGTCCGTGGGTGGTCTATAAGGTACAGATTTCTCTGATCAAAATTTCATATATATTTTGTGTGCGTATCAAAAACATTTCCTTAACAAATTTATTAAGTTTTTTTAATAAAATTTAAAATCAATCGAAATCTGAGTCTGAATCTCTGTTACTACAATCCATAGTAACTTCTCATACAGCCCTCGCATATAATGCTAAATTTACTTGTGCGTATCGAGAGATAGCGAGTGCCCAGAGAGACCAATCGAAGAGCCCAAGATCATGGATCCAATCCAAATATTTCATTCAGTTCTCTCAGATCCGGCGTGCAGCTAAGACGTTTAGTGCCGCCAGACATTTTATCTATTGGGAATAGAGCTACACATACGTATAGATTGGTAGAATGTTTGGCGTCTGTTTGGCCAGTGAAAAGTTGGAAATAATTTTCCTCACATATAAATAGAGTGCGCGCGTGTGTTTTTCCTTGGCATAAAGAGTATTGCGCAAGTAGTTGAGCTTGGGCCGTTTACTATGAGTAGCACCGCTTCCGGCGATAGTCACAGCCATAGCTGCAGTGGCTGTGGCAGTGGCAATGGTGCCACAGATAGTGGCATCTTTGAGTCGATTGTCTTTGCCGGTCGCCCGGTGCCACCGGTGCGCAGGAAGCGCCCAAAATCGAAAATTTTTGTGAGTCAATCGAAAGGCCTTGAATGCATTCGTCTCATTTCAATATAGACGTAGTAATAATCATTTTTATTTTTACTGCATCCACGTATACTGAACCTAATTTATATATCTGCGTGTATATATTTTTATTTTGAGTAATGCTTTAAAACCATATAATGCCATTTCACTTTCGTCAGACACATTTGCACCCACACACTTCCGTTTGGGCAGTGAATGGAAATGGAAATGGAAATGGAAATGGAAATGGCGTGCTAAATATTTAATTAGTGCTTTGCATGTTCGACTAATCCGAAAATAATATAAACTCAATAGGGCAGTTAGCTAACGATTAATACTGATACTGCTTGCAGCTCTCCCTGTCCACGAATCGTCCACTGTACGAGGAGGAGTGGTTCCACGGCGTGCTTCCTCGCGAAGAGGTCGTCCGTTTGCTGAACAACGATGGCGACTTCCTTGTGCGCGAAACAATACGCAACGAGGAGAGCCAAATCGTATTGAGCGTCTGCTGGAACGGACATAAGCATTTCATAGTGCAGACGACTGGAGACGGACACTTCCGCTTCGAGGGCCCGCCCTTCCCCAGCATACAAGAACTAATCATGCATCAGTATCATTCGGAGTTGCCGGTGACCGTCAAATCAGGTGCGATCCTGCGCCGACCCGTATGCCGAGAGCGTTGGGAGCTAAGCAACGACGATGTTGTCCTACTCGAAAAGATCGGCAGGGTAATATACAAACTGATCCACTCTTGCGCCGTGGCCATTTATTGAAGTGTCCATTTCTCAGGGTAACTTTGGCGATGTGTACAAGGCCAAGCTAAAGTCCACGAAACAGGACGTGGCCGTCAAGACCTGCCGCATGACGTTGCCCGACGAGCAGAAACGTAAGTTTTTGCAGGAGGGTCGCATCCTAAAGCAATATGATCATCCAAATATTGTCAAGCTGATTGGCATTTGCGTGCAGAAGCAACCTATTATGATTGTCATGGAACTGGTGCCGGGTAAGTCAATATATGACCAAAGAGATGGGGATGTTTAAATATTTTCAATTTGAAGAGCAGGAGATATTTTGATGACCCAGCGAACTTGGGCAATTATGCTTTAGAACAGGCTTCCTTCCGTTGCTTTTGTCTGCTTTAAGTGGTTCCATGTGGGCTCCGTTTTTACCTACTATATTCAAGTACCTAGCCGTTGTTAGGAAGGAACATATTAAACCAGTTTTTTGTTTGCTTGTTTTTTAATATAAAATTTATTCAGATAGCTCTGAGTTGGTTTTAAACATTATTTTTACTTGAAAACATATTCTTAATATATTTAAATACATATTCTAGATCTTTTTCAAGTTGTGCTTACAAAAAATGTTATCAAACTATTTAATTCCATTTAAAATATTTTCCTACAGGTGGCTCCTTGCTAAACTATCTGCGTAAGAACTCAAATTCTCTCACCACACGGCAACAGATGGGCATGAGTCGAGATGCTGCTGCAGGTGAGTGGCCAGCTAATTGCTGTTTGTTAATTACTGCAGCTTGCTCTAAACATAACGTTCATTTTAGGCATGCGATATCTGGAGTCTAAAAACTGTATACATCGCGATCTCGCAGCTCGAAATTGTCTTGTGGATTTCGAGCATAGCGTCAAAATATCAGACTTTGGCATGTCACGCGAAGAAGAAGAATACATAGGTATATAGGCGCATGACTATACGATCTCATAACATTTCATCAAAATGATTTTGCATTCAAATAGTTTCCGATGGCATGAAGCAGATACCAGTTAAATGGACAGCGCCCGAAGCGCTTAACTTCGGCAAATACACATCGCTCTGCGATGTTTGGTCCTACGGCATTCTTATGTGGGAAATATTCTCCAAGGGCGACACTCCATATTCTGGAATGAGCAATTCGCGTGCCAGAGAACGCATCGATACAGGTATGGTCCATTAAATAGATAGAGATCACAGACTTGAAGCTTTTTTAATTTAGACAAAAATTAGACATTGGCAGTGATATAATTAGTGATGATATAATTACTGACAGTGATATAATAAGGTTAATAGTTAATATATTTACAAAATGTATAATAATACTAATAATATATGAAAAGTTAACTAATGTTATTTTGCCATGAAATATTCAGTTTGTTCATGAATCAAAAGAAAATGAAACGTTTTTGCTAAGCAGACACAAATATGTTCGACATATAAGAATATATAAAAAAAAAAAACAAATATAAAAATTTTAAATTATGTTTTTAGCATATATATATATATATATATGTATATATATATATATATCGTTATATTGCAGAAATATGAATATGCTTCAAATAATTTGTAATTTCTTAAAAAGTCTTAATTTTCTACTAAATACAATGGTTAGTTAATCAGCTAAAGAATGAGCTTGTATTAAAAATAAATATTAATAATAATAAAATTTAGCATTATTCCAGACTAAATTTTATAATAAATCATTCATAAATTTTCATTAATTTAACATCGGTAATGTTGAATGAATACGTTCATAAACAAAAGCAGTAAGAAGTATCACACCCAAAACAAAATCATATTGGTGGTTGTGTTACTTTCCAATATCCAGTATCACTGCTTCTGTTAATTTGATTTTTGGTCATTTCAACATTTCAATAACTTGAATATAATTGCTTCCTCATATATACACCCTTTATGGATGCCTTCAATTTAAAGAAGAAGAATTGAAACTCTATGTGGGTCTGGCAGCGGTTGGATTTATGCAACACTAAAAAGATTTCCAGAATTAGCTAAACTCATATCGTAAATAAAAAATTCAAGCTTTAGATGTCTGTGAAAGATATGTCTGAGAGCCAGTCATTAAAGGTTTTCTTACATTTGCTAAATTCATATAAAAATGATAAATTTCAACCCTATCTATATGTGAGTGAGAGGCGTTAGAGCTGATCAGACTAAGAGAATTTACTAAATTCATAACATGTATGAAGTATTGAAGCTCTAAATGAGTCTGATACAGGTTGTAGCCATTCAAAACTAAATTGATTAATTCATTTTAAAAATAAAGAATTACTACTTTATATGAGTCTGAATGTGATTAGTGCTAGTCAAAGCTAAAAGGTTTTCCAATCTTTGGGAAATTCAATTATATTATTATATTAGTATATTATTATATCATTATATTATTATATTATTATATTATTATATCATTATATTATTATATTATTATATTATTATATTACTATATTATTATATTATTATATTATTATATTATTATATTATTATATTATTATATTATTATATTATTATATTATTATATTATTATATATGTTATGCTTCAAGTTTTTCCTGTATTATATATACATATTATTTTACTTTCAGGATATCGCATGCCCACACCGGAGAACACGCCGCCAGAAATGTACCGTCTGATGCTCAAGTGCTGGGCCGCTGACGTCGAGTCACGTCCGCACTTCGATGAGATCTACAATGTCGTAGATGCGCTCATACTGCGCCTGGACAATAGTCACTGAGCTCAGTAGCTAGCAATGATGTTCGTGAAGCTGTAATTAACTATTTTTAAACCATACTCAAGGTAGTTCTGAGTAAGCGCTTTTAAAGTATGTCACTTCCTAGGACTACACAACGAATGCCTGTATTTATAAAATACCGTTACTGTAACACATACATATAAGATAATTGCCTATATTTAAACCTTAGCATATTGACGATATTATTACATAAAGATATGCCGATATATATATTTATATTTATATTTTATAGTCGTGTATATTTTAACATATGTGTGTAACCAGCTGAGTGCCTGCTCGAGTGTGCGTGTGTGACTGTGTATGTGATCCTGTCTGATTTGTCGTTACGAATCCTTATTGTGCCAAAAACAGCAAAAAGAAGAAGAAGAAGCCAGAGAAATTTCGAAAACTCAACGTGTGCTTGATGAACTCTTAGCCCTAAGTTCTTGAATTTATGTTTTGTAGTTCTTTAGATTTAAGGATGAGAAAACACACATTGTAAATTATACAGTCTAGCAGACTTCATATTGAATTGTATATTTATTTAATGCTATTTACACTTCTACTATGATTACAACATTATTATTAACATACATTCAAGCTCTAAATTAAGCTCAAATTTTTGCAGTGTTGCAAATTTTGTGCAATAAAAATAAAAAATAAAATAAAAAGTAAATTTCTGATTTAGTGCATACACGAATATATAAAAAGAACCGTAAATTATATACATATTTAAGCCTTTTCGTTAATTGCCAGCGGAACATCGGAGAACTGGACCTTGGAATAATATTTCTTGAGCTCGTTCTTCAGCTCTAGACTGTGCTCCCAGTCTCTCGTCTCGCAGACCACTTTCACCTCCACCGTGTAAATGTCTCGCAGCCAGGCCCGTTCATGCATGATGTCCTTGATGGAGACACCCAAGCGCACCAGCCGAGAGCAAAGATCATTTATGCCGCCCGGACGATCACTGACCTCCACATTGAACTTGACCAAGCGACCCTCAGCTGCCAGTCCGCGCTCTAAGCAACGACCAAAGACGGTTGTGTCTATATTGCCTCCGCAGAGCAGCACCACAACCCTGCAAATAAAAGCAGTTGTCGATCTTAGTAGAGCCTTAGTAAAGGTTAAGCCAGGAGACGCTCACCTCTTGCCCTTGAGATCGTCCAAATGGCCAGCCAGTATGGCAGCCAGTCCAGCACCCCCAGCGCCTTCAACCACACACTTCTCCTCCTCAACCAGACGTAAGATGGCCACGGCTATCCACTCCTCCTTCACCACAACCATACGATCGATTAACGGTAGAGCTGTGGCATACGCATTGACCCCAACCTTGGGTACGGCCAAGCCATCGGCTAGCGTGTTCTTAATGGGCGTACTGATAGGACCTTTGTTCTCCATAGCTTTTGAAAAGCTGGCGCACTTTTCCGATTCTACGCCCTAGAGATATAAATCGCTGATTATAAAACTGCAGTGAGCAACAACTACTTGAGAGCTTACAATTATTTTGGTCTTGGGCGAGAGCGCCTTCACAGCTGTGGCAATGCCTGCGATGAGGCCGCCGCCACCAACTGGCACCACAACTACATCCGGCTCTGGCACCTGCTCCAGTATTTCTAGGCCAATTGTACCTTGACCGGCCATGATGTGCGGATGATCGTAGCCATTGATATAGAGCAGCTGCTCCTCCCGCGACATGCGCATGGCTAGCGACTTGGCCTCCCCCATGTCCTGACCCTCAACAATCACGCGGGCCTTGTAATTGCGACACTTCTGTACTTTCATAATGGGCGCTGCCTTTGGCATGACCACGGTAACAGGTATTGCCAATTTCCAGCCGTGGTAACAGAGAGCCAGAGCATGATTTCCCAACGAGGCGCTGATCACTCCCTTGAGTTTCTGCTCGTCCGTAAGACTGAGAAGTGCATATCTTGCACCGCGTTCCTTAAAGCTGCAAACAGAATCATTTCGAGGATTTATTGATTGCTTTATCATTACAGATATCTAGAGGTAGACGTAGGGTACCGGGGCACAAATCTAATTCATAACAAACAGGTGATAGCGTCGTATCAAGCTCTTGAACTTAATTGCTAATCTACAAATTAATTTGGCAATTCCTCCGAAAAACAATCTTATCAAGCTGATAATTGAATTTAGGCAAAAAACGTTGCCGATTTAATCTAATTCACGCCCAACATTCTGCGATTAAATAGAGGGGTCTGTCCGCAGTGCGTGCCTCGTATTGAAAATTATTGAAGAGAATAAAAGCTTCATACAAATTAATGTAAGAAGATAAAGAAAGGATCTGCACTTTGGCCGTCTAAATAAGCACAAATCTTTTAAAGCAATAGAAGGATCTTCATACCATATTCGGAACACGTTAGTCCTTTTTCATTTTCTCACAATTTTTTAATGTGCATTCAGCAAACGTATATAATATCAGCATTCACAGATTAAACTCAGTCCCTTTGCAAAACAAATTTTCAATATAATCTCCAACCAAAGGTGAAAATATAAAATCACGATTTGCGAGTTTGTCATCAAAGTTAATTTTATTATTAAGCAAAATCGATCATCGATTTCGATGTTTCTGTGCATATATAATAAAGGCCCTCATATTTGCTAAAGTCTTATCGCCAGACGGAAAATATAATGCCAGATAATAAACATTAATATATGTTAATACTATATTCAGTAATATTAAGAGGAAAATTGCATTTGAGTACTTTGGACCGGCTTCGAATATGTCTACGCTATATTTATTGAGAATCGGTAAAACTAAAGTGAAAAACAAAAATCTGCGACATCTCTAAAAATATATGTATATATTGTGAGAGCTTGTCATGTACGCCTTTTTAAAAGAAATATTTATTTTAATAAATATTTTGGGTCTTTTTGGACACTTAAATCCAAGAGATACCTCTAGCAACTGCTCATAACTTTGAAGTCTACTGATATCGCTCACTCACCTGCCCGTATATTGTAGGAAGTCCTTCTTTAAATATAGATCCATCCCATAGGACTCTGACGATGTGGATCTCTGCAAATGAGTTCTTAGCTTAGACTGCATCCATCATCTGATTTAAAAACTTACTGGACAGGGTGTGCGCTCCACGCCACCCTTAATTAAAAAGGCAGCTGATGTTACATCATGGAATGAAATGCGTTTCGGATTCTTCGAATCGCAAAAGGGATCGACGATTTCCTCAACTCCGCCCGACACGTGCCGCGTTCTAGTGTGAGGAACAGTTAGTTCCAGGTTGCTGCTGGTTCCCAGTTGCTGCACAGTGCCGTTCGATTTGTTGGCAGAGGCGCCATTCAGACCATTCTGTGTGTCCACTTTCGCTTGCTGTGACATTTTTGTGAAATTCCGCCGTATTAGAGCCGCGTCCTGCTTGTTACTTTTATTGATTCCACTAGAGCTGACGAGCGACAGCGAACAACTGCTCCGCTTGGTATAACTTATGTACATTTATAAAATCAAATTGAGTGAAACAAGCACGAACTGGGCATGTTCGAGTACCGACAATGAAATACCCTTAAAACACAGGTTTTAATAATAAAATCCTAAACTGATTGTCCTCTATCAAATCTAGAATATTCAATCAAATAAAAACTATGCCCATATGACTTGCTCAAACTTCTTGCAGATAGTTCAACAACTGGCAGAGCAAAGTAATCCATGACTAAACTATAATGACCTACGTGAGAGTAGACAAATAAGTATATTTACGATCGTGAAACACCGATAGAGCAGGCATTTTATGAGAGTTCACTTGGCGACCGCTGATAAGCCCCGTTTAGAATTAATGAACTATGATACGAATTTGCTCAATTGTTTTGGTTAATTTGGCAGTCGCCGTCGTATTTGATGTCATGTGGTAAGGTACAATATTGTACATAGTCAATAGATTATTATTAATGTGATCGATATTGATTTAGCCTACAAAGCAGCTAGAAGTAAAGCACCCTCTAGAAGAGCGGAACTCATTTCTGTGTATAGATTTAGATGTTAGCATAGCTCATATACGAGAGCTGCGTGATGCTTTAGACAACTTGACTCGAAGGGAACCACGCCCTCAAATGCGGCCTCAGTAACCTAGTAAAAGACTGACTGTCAAAACAGTGCTGAGATAAGAAAAGTAGAAAATAAAACATATTTTAAGACGTCCAATTACTTTATTTTTGGGCTCCAGCCGAAAAACAACACAGCTTATCTTATCATCGCATGAACACAACAAAGTACAACACAAAGATGCAAATAAAATGGGCAATAAAACAAAAAACAAACTGTGATCTGCGTAGGACAGTGCAAAGTTCATATACAACATATGATGTGCTCAGTTCCGATCTGTCTAGGCGTTGAAGCTCAGCCAGTTTGCCGGATTGGTGACAGTCATCTGCTCGACCTGCTCCAGGGTGACGCCGCGCTGGAACATGCGTGGCAGAATATTCATTTGTATATGATGGTATCCGTGGCCGCCATAGGAAGTCTACATTCGGAAGAAGAAAATGCATTCAAATAAAGCAAAGAGTCTCTGCCAGAGCGAGGCTCACCAGTCGGTGCTTTGTGTGTATGTCGTGCGACATGAGCAGCCTGTCAACGAGTCCTTCATTGATCAACTTCATGATATTCTCTATGCGCTGGCCATCTGATATCATGTCCACTGTGGAGTTCAGCTGGTAGTAGGAGCTCTCTGTGCCGAAGAGGTCGTACTGCAAGTAAGAGCCCAGCTTGGCAAACTCCAGCAATTCATCCATGTCAAAAATTGTGCCTGCAATTGGAGCACAATGAGCTTAGAGGCTATCGACTGATGCGTTGACTGCTTACGGTCCAAGTGCGACATAACGCATTTGTTGGCCCGTCCGCCGGCCTCGAGATAGAGCCGCATGATTTCAAATGGTGCCTTGGATACGCGATGCGGATGCAGTGAGACGCCACAACCAAGCACCTCCTGGATTTCGCCAGCGGCCAGCAGGGCATGTCGTTCGAACTCTACAAAGTTAAGAGAGGATCAAACTGGTCTCATTCGAGTGGTCTTTCACTCACCTTGAACGGGAAACACGCTGGCCACCTCGCCAATGAAACCACACTTCACAATGCGACCGTTCACGTCGATGCCAGTTAGAATATCCTTAGTGTAGAGATCTGTCATCTGCTCGACTGTTAGATTCGTGTGCGAGGAGTCCTGCGTGGCGTGTATGTAGTGGCCCGTGCCAGCAATAAAGTGTACCCCTGTTGTCTTGGCCAGGTCCACAATGAATTCCAGATTGCGTTTCAGTCCGTAACTGCTGTTCTCCACAATGGCGCCGCCGCCATGCTTCTTGTAGAGGAGCACGTCCTTTCTGGATGCTTCGAGCGCCTCCTCGTCATAGAAGCGCACGTTCTCCCTGCTCGAGTACGGATACAGACGAACGTAGCCCAACGTAGCCATGCTGATCTTTTGCCGCAATTCATTCTCAAAGTCCGCCGGCGGTGGCTTGTAGAAATGCTCAAAGTCGAGAGCCACATGCTCATGGGTAAGTGTACGACCCAGCAGATTGGGCGTAATGCTACCAAGAACTGCACCACAACAATGTACACATACGACAGATAGTCCCGTTCATTGCATAGTATAATGGAAAAATTTACTTAATGCTCATTTATTGATAACGAATCGCTGCCAGTTAGAGAGAGGGAGAGAGCGGCTCTATCTATGGTGGCTGATACTCACCAGTTTGCACTCTTGACATTTCTCTACTACAAATTGGGGTCACCGACTGCTATTCCTGCCTCACTCTCGAATCTTATGGAACTTTTGGAGTCTGCACCAAGTTGCCGTTGTCGCCGAGTGCTGCTGTCACGTGCGATCACTTTGAGCGCGTTGGGGCAACTGATTGTTGGCTCGAAGCACTACGATGCTGGTAGCTCGTATGGCAGGCGCAGCTCTCGCGCTTTACAAAGAGACAACTGCACTCATGCAATCTCCAAACTATATATATATATATATATATTTATGTATATAAACATCGCCCTGTCGGTACCCTGACAGCTGTTCGCATATGTGGCCCAACTGAGAAAATGAATTTATCATAATTTATTCAGAAATCTAATCTACTGAGCGCTTAGTGCAAACATGCACGATGTGTGGCTTGCACTATAAACGTATTACTTTATATGCCTTGTAAAACCTGATTTACAATACTTACCTTGGCTACAAACAAATAAGCCATGCACAGCCTATGAAAGATACGTGCCTGGGCTTTAAAACACAAATCTGTAGATCTTATGACAAAGCCACAAGCAAATTGTAATTGAATTTAACTATCCAAAATGATATCGGATACGAAATATGGAAACGTTGCTCGTTCTATCAAAAAACTGCAAAATTGATCAAATATATGTTTGGATCTACCAGTTCACAATGGGTAGATGTCTTTCTATACAGACGATGTTAACAGTTGATGAATTGGTTGTAAGTCTGTAAAGAAGATATAGTTCGTCGTTAAGCCATCATGCAACACGGCAACTTTTAAATTAGTTCAATTGAATCAGCTGGGTGCAGCGTTTCAGTCTTCTGTTGCCCTAATTGCAGAACTAGCTGTTAGCAATTTGAGGCTTAAAAGGTGTAACTGTAGTCAATTCTCGTTTCCCAAATCTACTGACACTATAGAATGAGTTATACTAGCAGATATAATCTTGCAGATATAATCTGAAGATCCGCAACTGATTGCCCTGTGTGCAGCATAGTTTTTGCTTAAGTACTAGCTGATGGTTTCTCTTATTTGATACAATATCAAATTTAAGTAGAGTCAGTAGAATCGGAGAAGCAATTGGTTTAAAAGAATTGCTTTATCTTTATACGAGTCGCGTATTCCGATGCTGAAATGTGAAAGAACTGAGCTGATATAAAGCCACAAGCAGATAAAAAGTTAACTATCTATAATTATAGCGTATTACACTGAAGTCACGAAGTCATTTAACTTCCTTTATAAAATTCCAAATTCATGAATTTCTCAGAATAATTCTCTTTATTAGTTCCACTTGTTTCTTCATTTTTTTTTGCATTTTATTTGATTTGTTTTTTATTTTATATTACTTATATATAGTTTTTATCAGTTTTTTGCCATTTCTCATTTATCAGATATCCATATAGTCTATATATATATATATATTTATACTTAAGACATATATATCTCTTATCCGCATATCAATGCTGCTTCCATTCCTTTGTGTTCTCTTTTTTCTTGTTATCTTCTTTTATAATATTTGTTTCGTTTTCTTTATATATTTTGTATAGATACTTCTTGTTAGATTTACCTTAAAGCTTAGCATTTTCATATACGTTTCCCACGACTATTTTCGATATATCCAACGCCAATGTTAGCCTTTCATTAACTTATGTTCTCTCGCTGGTAAAGCTAAAAACACGTTGACATTTAAATTTATTTAAAATATATAGATATTTGTTTCTTTCATGTATGTTTGTTAAAATGTACTTCTTGGATCGTTTGGTGTTGTTGTTGTTTTATTTAGATTGTAGCGAAACTTATTGTTAGAAGAAAGAAAACATGACAAAAGTTGAATTGTTGCTAAGCTGCTGACTTATTGAACACTTTCTGTGACTTTATTTAGGTAAATATAATTAATTATATTACAGTGATATTTGGTTATATGGAAATTAACGAAAGTCATGGTTTGTGGTTTGCCCCAAATGCCAATTGGCCATTGCCAATCGCCAATCGGGCATAAGAAATTCCCTGCAGTCTAGTCTAGATTATATAGCACCTGGGCGGGGTCTACATCGATTAGGTAAACAAAACGTGAATGAAAGCAATAATTAATAGTAACAGAAGTAAATAAAAAGAACAAACACATATGTTTTTTGAAAATTATAGATTCGCCTTTTATTCAACATTTTTTAAACTATTTAGGTGTGTGTATATAAATTTGAAATAATTATTTTTACTTTTGTGTTTGTTGAGGTGTTTCTTCTTCATTCATAACTAATTTCCCTTCTCTGCACTATTAGAGTCACATATTATTGTTGTTATTATTATTAATAATATTATTATTATTATTATTATTATTGTAGATGTTATGCCTTGTTTGTTGTGTTAATTAAAATAGTTGTTGCTCTTACATCTGCACTTCCGTATCTCTGTTTCCATATATGTACTATGTATTCCTATTTAGATTCAAACTAGCTTTACCATTTAGTCGTTAAATATAATATAATATAATATATATATTTTCACGTGTTTTCTTTTTCTTCTTTCATTTGCCGCAGCTTTTGCGCATTAAATTACAATTATACATTAGTACGATATAGATTCATATTACATAGTTGTATATAAATATATATATATATACATATATATATATATAATCTATATATGTGTATATAATATAAAGGTATATCATTTATAATCAATTTTCGCGCTTGCCATCATTATCAATATACTCTTTCATACGTTTTTACAAACTAGTTATATTTGTTTTGTTTTTTCTTTTTCTTTTTATTTGTTTTTTTTTTTCAATCAGCCAACAAAATCTGAAGCCAAAAATCGAAAGTCGAGTCCGGCTAACAATTGCAAAATATGAACAAAAACAATTGTGGTAGAGGAAATACATATTTTTTTGGATTAAATAAAATTATTCGCATGTATTTTTTGTTTTTCTTTTTAAGTGTCCTTAAGTTTAGAAGCACAAGAGTGACTAAGAAGTGCGCCCAGCAAAAATGACAAAACTCCAATTGAAAAATACTAGAACAGCAAATACAATTAAAAAGACGTTAATTAAAATTAAGGGCGCTTAAAGTACGCTAAAAGTATGTATGCATATATATATGTATGTATGTATGTATGTATGTAATGTATATATGTATGTACATAAATAGTATTAGTAATTATTTGCCTTTTCACTTTAGTTATTAACATAAAAACAATTTCAACTAAAACACACTAAAGCGTTTCAAACTATATAATTTTATAAACTATATCTAAAGCAAAAATAAAAACAGAAAAAACTTATTTACGAAATTGTTAAAACTCGTGAGCTTTTCTCTCGTTTTGGGTTTCCCTTTTTCTTTCGCCCACTCGTTTTCAGAGTTGACCAGACACCTAGATCCCTAACGCCCCATTGCAGCTGCAACTGATCTATGCGCTCAGATCATATTGCGAGTTTTCTGGCATTTCGATATTATTTTCTTTCATTTAGTTCGATTCGTGTATATTTTTAATAAGTTTACTTTTAATGCATACAATTTTACTAATTAAGTTTAAATTGATTATTGAATTATGATATACGTTGTGTAGCATGTATATTGTTTTTGTTTCTTTTTTTTTAGGTTTTTTGTTTATTAATTTTTCAGAAAAGTTAAATATAAACAACTAAATAAGCATTGATTAAAATTAAAATGACAATTTTGCTGTTCTGGTTGTTGGTTGTCGTTAATTAGTTTTGTTTTTTACTTAATTTTTATTTTGTTTTATTTTTATAATTTTTTTCTTGAATAGCAGTTCCTAGTTTCTCGTTTTAATTTACAATAGAGTTTAATTTAAATATATTTAATACAACTGCTTTACAATTGTTGTTTTTTAATAGCTGGTTTTGTACAGTTTTGTTTATGTTGTCTATTGAAACGTTGTTTTGTATTGTGTATGCTGCGTGTGCTTGTGCTTTCTATGAATTCGTGTTCAAGTACAAGTTCAAGTTCAAGTTCATCTTTTAGCCAGCTCCGTTGCAGTTCGCTTAGAACAGACCTAACACCCAACACCCAATATAATATTGCCACAACATTCACGCTCGCCCCTTGCCCCTTGCCCCATGGTGTTTCGAACCTTTGTCTTTTTACGTGCTTCATATGTTGTTTATAAGCAATTGTGAGGCGTTAGGGCGTGGCTTATCACGAGTTTTGGTCTGTGCTTCAAGTAGCTGATTATTGTTTTCGCTCACTTTCTCTATTAGCTGTGCTACAAAGTTTCTGCCTTGATTGGGGAAGATTTTTTCAATCAAAATTTATTGCATTTACCTCGTTTGTTTTATTTTTTTCGTATTTTCTTGTATAATTTCTAATGCTAACAACAAAATTTATATCTACATATATGAATTATTGTAAATTGGTTTTAATAAAATTGTAATTACTAAAAGGAAGAAAGCAAAATTAAAATATCTTTTATGTATGCCCGTTATTTTTTACTATAAACAAAGAAAAACTAAATAACGCTTAAAGCAATAAGAACCTATAAAGACAAACCATATAATATATATATAAATATATATACATATACATATATGTATTACAGCGCCTGCAAGTGTTTTCCCTCTTTCCGCCTCAATCGATTCGAATCGTTTAAGCTTTACATAAGAAATTATAAGCCTGTACATCTATAAATCCATATATATAAATATATATATATATATATATATATATGTGCGTTCATCAGCAGATATTAAATCAATTGAAGTGTTTATAAAATATTTTGAATTTGAAATTTTGGGACGAAATTAAATTATAGAAAAATTAGAAATCAAAAGTTACGCAACTTGCACTGCATTCGCCTGCCTTGTTACATGTTTATAATAGTTCAAATGTTTGTAAGAGTTTCAACACGCTGCTCTCCACATCCTTCCATCACTCCCTTGCGCTCTCACTATGAGACATATATATATATATATATATATATATATTTATACATATATATATATATATACATATGTTTTGAATTTTCTCTTTTGTTTTTTTTTTCAGTATTTGTCCAAAGGATTTTCTATACATTTGCTTTTTTGTTTTTGCCTTTTTGTTTTTGTTTCGATTTTTGTTTTAATACATATACATACATAATTAATTAATCAATAATTAAAAAATATGAAATAGTTGTTTGTAGATGTTGCTTTTTTTGTTTTGTTTTGTTTTTTTTTTTTGTTGTTTTGTTTTTGTTGCTATTGAGTTAAATTTGAGTTTTAGTTGTTTTCGTTTGCTTGCATTTGTATTTTGGCCTTTTCGTTTTTTTTTATACATGCAACACATTACAAACACAAATTACACACGTTGGCTACATAAAATTTATCTTCTTTCGTGTAATTGGTAACAATTTGTTGATGCGTATTTTCTTGTTGCTGCTTTGTTGGCGAGGCTTTGAATACAAAACATTTGCAACCTGCAATTGGAATAACAAACTAGATGGTGCTTCGATTGTTGCTGTTGTTGTTGTTGCTTGTTGTGTCACAGGTCACCGTTCATAGGTAACAACAGCCAGCGACGATTGCTTGCTAACGCGCTAATACGCGTCTGGTTTAAGTTAGAAATGATGATTTTTGGTGCAGTTGCTGCTGTTGCTTATGCTTATGCTGCTGCTACTATTTGCTGCTGTTGCTGCTGCTGCTGCTGCTGTTTCTGGTGCCACTGCTACTGCAATCATTTTTATATGACTGTCATTCCGAGCAGCTTTTGTTGCTGTTGCCGTTGTAGTTGTTTTTGCGTGGTATTTGGTTAACGTTTCTGTACTATTGTTTCTTGTTACTGTTCACATTATAATTAAATTACAATTATTTATAGTATTTATAAATACATATACATCTATATACATATATGTAAATATATATATTTATATTTATATATATATATACATATACATATACATATATATATATGCATGTGAGTGTGTTTGTTGTGTGCGTGTGTCTCTTTGTGTATGTGTGTGTTTGTGTGTGTGTGTTAATGCAAGTGTATGTGTTTATGTGTTTGTGTAATGTGTTTTGGAGTTTTTTGTTGTTGTATTGATTTGTTGGTGCGTAGCGTGTGTATATATATATACTATATCATAATGTGTAGTTGTTATTATTCTACGGCTACTGTTACTGGCACAATCTCTCCTCGCAATTCAAATCTTTTGAATTTTCTCGCCAACTACAACCGGATTATTGCGTCGAATCTCCTGAGCGCCATGCTCTCTGTAGTCAAAGGTGCAATTGTGTTTATCGGAATAACGATGCACGGCACAGTATAAGCCACCACAGCGACACTGGAAACCTATAAAAGAAAACGCGCATTAAAATCAATGGAAACTTTAAGGTATAATGTGTTGCCATACCAGTTAAGCCAACCTTCTTGCGGCATTCACCACATCGGTTCTTTTTCTTCTTGGCGTCCTTGTCGTCTTCCTTGTCTTTATCATCCTGCTCGCATGCGGAGGCAGCTGCTTGTGTGGAAGTATTTGGACCAGACGCCGATATTATGGCTTCGCTATTGGACTTGGAGGCGACTGCGGCTTCCTCGGTGATTTTCTAAACGATCGCAAATAAAAAAAATATGAATATGAAAAGAAACGCGAGTGAAACGCCATCAACACAAATACATCGACTTGTCTGCAATCTGTTCCAACTACATTCCCAAACTACTTAATAAAGATCGCTGTTTATTCTTCTTATGATTTATTTTGCAAGATTAATTTAACGCTTACTGTGGAATCCTCATCTAACGGACCCTCTACCCTCTAAAAACAAATAAGTTACCTAACTAAGCGTAAAAAGTGTGTGTAAAGGGTATGCGTGTTTACCCGTTTCTTGACAACCGCATCAACAGGGGAGTTAACGCCCTCCGAAGGTTTTCTAAGCTGCACAAACTCGCTATTTTTTGGGGTTTCTTCAGTGCAGCTCGTCTCTTTAATGCGGCGCTTGCTGTGCTGCGGCTGCTGTGGCTGTTGCTGCTGCTGCTGCTGCTGTTGCAACTGTTGTTGCGCCGGCTGCTGTGGCTGAGGTTGCTGTTGCTGTGGCTGCTGCTGTGAGGGCTGGGCCAAGCGATGATCGGACGTTGGCCTTGGTTTCTCGGGATTATCGCCGTTTGATTGTTCCATGGCGCAATAACGCAAGTGAATACGTCACCCACGCACGACGCCTAACCTAGAATTAGCGCACGCGCTGCACCCTCTTATTAATAGCTGTGCTGCTTGGGAGTAAGGAATCGCGTTTTACTTCCGGCTGTACTGAGTAGGCTAAACGCGGACACGGTCTGTTGGCTATGACCACCGGTTGGCGGTTGTTTGCGCCGGCCTTGATGCGCGAATTCTTAAGCCTCTTGGACTTGCGACTGGCGCTAGCTACGGGCGCCTTAGGAGCCGATCGAAGTGTCTTGCGATCGCGTATCGTTGCCACAGGTTCAGCGTCAATTACTGCAACACTTTGTTGAACGTCTTTGCGAAGGACAGAACCGGGCTGTTGCGAAATGGACAGATCAAGTTTGCTGACAACACTCCTTCCACCACTCGACAGTGGACGATTGCGCTTTAGCTTCTTAATAGGCTTCTTAAGATGCAGTTCGCCAATGCGCTCCTTCTTGTCCGTGTTATTGGTCGGGAACGTGTGCACGTTAGCCGAGAATTTAACCTTGCGGGAACCGCTCGCCTCAGTTTTACCACCTCTTACAATCGGGGTGATCACAGCTGCACCAGCGCATTTACGGGACAGTGAACTCTTTTTGACTTGACAATCGGCTGTGTTCAAAAACGGCGGGGTACGAGCTAACTTGACACCAGAGCCAGAGGCGATACCGTTGCCTCGTTTACGGAATTCTCCGTCTGCTGCGGAAGCGCATTGAAGCGCAGGAATGGAAGATTTAAGTGGGGAAACAAGATTAATGCTGCTACGCAATGCCTAATTAATAAATATATAAAAACAGCATCGTGTACCCTTTGGCGTGATGGTAGTGGCGGCATTCACTGGTAAATGTTGGGAGTTGAGAGGGCCCAATGCTCCGGCCTTAACACGCACTAACTTCTTACGCTTCTGGCGTTTCGCTGTCGACGGCTCGGAGCACGAACTATCCTCCATCCTAACACTTTTGGACTTTGTGATATCTCTGCGGACTGATGACTTCCGAGAACCACCCAAATGAGGCATTCCTCTAAAATTTTGAATTTTGACAGAGAATTTATTTTTTTATCCAAACACAAAGCCGAATGCTTAGAATCTACACAAACTACGTTTGATTTCCTTTCGTGCACAAATACCTGATTATAAACTCAAAGGCATTGCCAGCTGGGCAAATACGTTGATCTAACGCCTCTACGCCCGAGAAACAAGTCCTGAGACCCTCATCATCTTATAATAGGAATTGATGCTCGACTAAACCAACTATTTCTACAGTTTTAATATCTGATATAAATAAACCAGTGATTCTTTGATGCTTTGCCAAGCTCTATATTCTTATCATTCAACTGGCGATTCCTATATTACTATATCTAATAAAGTTTCGGAGCTGATGAAACCACCTAGCAATAAACAGGTCCTGATGAAGCTTGATCCAATAAGAGAAGCATTTCAAATTATACTCAAATTTTACATAAAAGCTTTTAAAAGGCGATTGACTTCTAACAGCTATGTACGTATGTATTTTAGTTCAATTATTAACGATAGGTATATAGAAACATTGCCATCACTTGACGTGCATATCTCAGTTTCAACTGATCTATGGAATTTCCAAAAATTACCATAAAGTTGCAGTTGCTATTAAAACTGGGTTTATATCTGTTTTATTTGCAAGCTATACTTTAAAACAAAAACTTTACAGATTCGGCTTTATATAGGGAATTTGTGAAGAGGTAACAACAGTTTGTATTTCACTGCTGGACAGTGGAACCCATGGACATAGATTTGTTGCGTGTTCAAAATAGGGATCAATTGTAGTAAGAGATGAATCTATAATCAGTTGGGTTTACCTTGTCAACTCCGCCGTAATTTGCAGCGACACGTGGCCAGCACAGCCAACACACACGATGCACTGTTACAATGAACTTTTTTCTATATTTTACACATACAAGTTGTTTACACTATTTCACTTATAAGAAGACTAAATTTATATCCGAAAAACAAAAAAATTTGTGACTGACTGATGAAAAATACAAAGAAATCAGAGGCGTACCCAAACTGCTTGGCCTACTAAAGAAGTTGGAACAAGAAAGCCCACATCGATCGCTTATATATATGTAGGACTCACCTCTTTAACATCACTGTGTGATTGCTGTAAGCTCTGTACCGTGGGCTGTGCAGTGTGGGTTGTTGCAATGACCGGACTGAATGTGGGGCTAGGTTGTGGGCTTGGAACTGACACAGGTGTGCTGCTCACAGGTGGCTGTTGCTTTTTTCTAAGCGAGTCCTGAAAATCGATCGAAATGTCAATCTAAGGCTCATGCTTCATTTGAAAAGAGAGCTGCTGCTGCTGTTGCCGCCGCTGCTGCTGCTGCTGCTCTTCATATACTTACCTTGTAGCAAACTGAACACAGACCATCTGTAGCTGGATTGCCATAGAAACCGCATCCAGAGCGGCACATGGGTTGCATTGGATTTGATTCCCGTTCCATTCTGGCTGGACCAAGTTTATAAAGGGGGGTGTGTGTGTGTGTGTTCGTGTGCGTATGCGTGTGTGCGCGTAAATTTAAATAGTTTATTCAACTACGATGGATTGACGGGACCGTCTACTTGTTTTTGTCGTTGACTTTCGCCCAGCGAAATATGTTTCGATTATTTCCTGTTGCTGCGGCGTCAGCAACTTCGACTCCTTTGCTTTCGCCTCGTGTTTTTTGTTTTATGTTATTATATATAATCAGTTTGTATTACTGTTTACTTAACTAACTTCCGTCCAAATAATTAGCTTGCTTCGTGTCTGATACGCGAAGCAACTAGAGTTTTTGAATCCAATCGTAAATCTGCAAAACAAATCCAAAGTAAAAGTAGGTTAGTTCTGGTGCCAAACAAAAATGTACTGAAACCTACTTTAAAAAAATAATATCGTAAAAAAAATTCGAAACGCAACTCTGGCCCGATATATTTCATTGATTATTTGGAAGTAAATATTGTAATACTTATGTCACATCACAGATCCACACATACAACCTTTATGAACATTCACATATGCAAATGCTTATTTCTTATCTCAATAGTGCATTTCGTCAAGCATTAAATAAAGGAAATACATTTAATATTTAGTCGCTGTGAGTGTTGTTCAAAAGAAACAACAAAGTTGTAAACAAAATACTCAGCGTGGAGCGACGAAGAGAGCACGAAAGTAACGATTGCGTTGGGCCATAAACAAACAAAATTACATCTGGTTTTTTCGTTCCTCTTCAAGGCTGTCAGCATATGCACACATACATGCATACTTGAACCAACACAGATATTCATAAACACGATCCGTGCACGCTCACAATCAAACCACAAAATAATAGAGAAATAAGTTAGACTCAAACCAGTTTCAACCGCCACAAAGACATCAGCATTAGAGAGGTGAACAGAAACCGACAAAAGAGAGTAAAAGAGAGGTGAAAAAGAAAGAGATACAGAGGGAGAGAGAGAGAGAGATAAAAATACTTCACCCGAGTGATAAATAGCAAATTAAACAAGTTATATCTTTTCAATTTTGTTGGCACAAACAGGTCCACCTAGTTGATTCAATATTGTGTATCGAATATACGTATATACAGATATTATAACCAATCGACTTTTAGTGCTCGATATTTCGATATATAATGTACAATACATGCACCCTTTGTATATACTGATATAACTTTCCCAGCTAGTTTGTCGCAATAGAAACCCTATAGCCAATTATCTGGTTCCAATTGGCTAAACAATTGTTTACAATATCACTTTTAACAAAGCATTTACTGTATATTTATGAAATAAAGATATTGCATTAGAATTGAAACGAAAAATTACATAAATTTAAATTATAAGCTTTTTAAATTACAGTGTATCTGAACATTTAATAATTTTATATAGACAATGTCTGTTTGTCTTTGTGTTTGTACAATTTCCTGTTGTAAGAAAAAGCTGGTAAAGATAACATAACACTTCAAGCGATAACAGTGATTTTCTTCTTCTGTTATTTAATGTTAAACGCGACCTCTGTTGTTAGCCGCAATCTCTGTTGGTCGATGTAGCCTTGTGCGATCGACGCATTTCTGCAAGTGTGATGGTTTCCAACACTCCTCGTTCTTATGATGCCTTGATTGCAAAATGAAAAATCCATGGGCTCAGGTTATAAAATCACAATAAAAGCGACCGGAGTCTACTGTTGACTTCTTAGTCAGTCACACATTTACATATAAAATATATATATATATATATATATATGCTATATCTATATGAGTGTGTGGTTAATTTCCTGCTGTTACGGCTAATTTAAAGCCAAAACAGCTGTCAGTCAACGATGCGTTTCTCTCTCTTTCTCTTTGGCACTCACCCCAGACACCAAAATGTCAACTGCAAACAAGCATACAAACACACATGTGTAAAAACAACTCCCCACACGTTCCCAATTACGAATTGAGCAACAAACAAGAGATAGAGAGGCGCAGCTGTTAACGCGCGAGAGCTTATACACATGCATACGTACATACATACACTAAACACCGTGCGCAGCAGCAAATAATTGCCTGCTAAGAGGATAGCAAAATAAAATGAAAATGTATTTCTGATTACCAAAAGCCTTGCTGTTGTTTTCTGTTATGCATTTGCCATTTATACGTATTTGTATATTGTATTACAGAGTACTTACGGTATGAATCGATAGATTTACGTGTAACATTTATGTTAACAGTATGTTATGATCTATGTAAACTAAAATGAAGGGGTTTATAGCGCTATATGTACATAACATAAAAAAATCATATGACAGTTGGCTCTATGATTTACAAATGATGACTGTGTGTGTCACTCACTCAACGTGATGTGACGTCACTGGGGCTCTCATTAAACTTAAAATATCACAACTGAATTGCTCAGCAACCAATGTACGTACTAACGTACGTGTCTATGTACACATGTGAAAGCATGTGTGTGCCAAATGCGCATTTGAGAGAATTGCATAAGAAATACATAATAACAGTGCCAAGTACTAAGTGCAAAGCAAGCAACAACATAAACAAAAGCGTGTTGCCCAGAGATAGCAACAAGTTAGACAATTGGTGTGCAGTAATTGACTTAAAAATCACCCTACACAGGTGAACGAAAATCATTAATATTTATAGATATAACTATATATATGCATATTTATAGTAAATCACTCTTGCGTGGCTTGCTTTATCCTCTTAAACCGTTCATATGAATACAGGGTATACGAATATTAATGTAAACATGAATTCCACAAATAAGTTAATTGTGTAAATAACAAAGCTGCAATGTAAAAGCGCTGTCGATCGGACTGTGTCGTAAAGTAAACAGGATTCTTACCACTGCAATATTAAAACGGTAATAAGCGAATAAGACTAAAACAAAGTAAAGGTTAATGTGCTGTTGACCTGCATTTAAATCACGAAATTTACAACAGGAAAAATGACGGGGTGAACAGAGCAGCATAAAAGGTAAGGAACAACAAGGTAGGCAATAACAGAAAGCACACACACAAAGAGAGAAGGAGAGAGACACCCATATACACGCAAACACAAACACTCATGCATGGACATACGCATGTGGCCTGCGCTTGAGTCATGTTTACATATTAATGAGGGAGTTAAGCGACCAGACAACAACAGCTACAACAAACCAAACGTCGAGCGTGGAGTCCAAGTAAGAAGCTGATGAAATGCACAGAGGAGCAAACATCAGCAGCTCCGAGCTCCGGCGCGCATTGAATTATTAAAACTTTATTAAGAGCACAAAAAGAAGAGTTGGAGAGCGAGTAAACAACATGGCGGACATCTGAGCTTAGCCCATGAATGAGCTTTAAAAGCCAAGCTCAAGAATGCGCCACTCTTCCGGCCACAAAATAAAAGAGAACTCAAGCAAAGTGCCTGACACGACGAGGAGCGGCATCCTCTGTCGCGCACAAACATAATCAATCAAAGTGCTATGCAAGAGCTAGAGTTAAAGCTAAAGTTGAGTGGCAATTTAAATGGCTTTAAATTCAACCCGCAAGGCATTACAAATTAACGTAAAACGAAGAGACATCTGATCAAGCAAAGAGCACGAACTAAAGAAGTTCTTGG